ATTGATTGAATGATTGATTATGTGCCATCAAGTTGTTTTCAACCTGTAGCGACCCCATTGATAGATTTTCTCCATGAAGATGGAGATTCTCATGAAGGTTCTTGAAGATTCATGAAGGTTCTCATGAAGGTTCTCATGCAGCCTTCATTAAGAAGCTTTATGGAGCTAAAAAGGAAATGGGAATATATTCACTTTGTGACCTCAGTCTGTTCCTTTCACCCCTTGCAGCTGTCTATCCTACCACTGCCATCACCCCAGTTGCGCAGGCGATCCCTCAGCCTCTTCCAATAATTCAGCAGCAACAGCGAGAGGGTAAGTAAGTCTTCTCCTGCATGGACATGATGGGAGAAGAAGAGCAGGCAACCTACCTCTTCAATACTCATGGAAAAAGGGTGGCCCGCGAGGTGTCCTGGACTGAGGCCTCTTACAAAGCAGGAGACCTATCTAGGCAGCCTTCCCAACTGATAATGATGGAATTGGAAGTCCTACCAAGTAGGAAGGGCATCCAGTTGGGGGAAGATGATTTAAAGAAATATGGGATTGGAGCTGTTGCATCAGCAACTTTTGGGCACTAACGGAGCCAACTTTGAGCTGGTTCTGTTGGGTCAGCAGAGAGATTCCTTGAGTAGAACTCAAGATAGATGACCAGATTCTATTAGATGACCACTGCAACTCCTGCGATTGCTGGAAGTGATCTGAATCTGAGCAGTTATATGGCAGAGCTCCACTGGATATAATTCCCCTAAATTTGTGCTGTTTCTAAGATGTTTTGAACTACATTTCCCACGACGCCATGGCATTGACTGATGGTGGGAGTTAATGTTCAGAGCATCTGGAGGTGGCAAGATACCTTCCTTTCCCAGAAATGGATGGGCCAAGGACAAAGTCCTCAGATGCATGAGTTTGGGCTAGCCCCTCTCTAGGCAAGAGAGTGCCATATATTTGGGAAATTCCTGTTGGATTGTAAGAAGGATCTTCCTCACAGTAAGAGTGGTTTGACTGTGAGACCAGTGATCCAGAGAGGGGGTAGACTCCTGTGTCTTGGATGTGTCTGAGCAGAGGCTGGACAGACACCTGCCTCAGGTGCTTCAGTGTGGATTTCTGCTCTGACCAGTGGGTTGGTCTCAGTACCCCCTTCCAACTCCATATTGCCATGTTGTTATGACTGAACAATATATCTGGGCAACATTTCTCCAGAACTTTAAGTTCTGAAGAAGATCTTAGAGGGCAATCCATAGTCATCTTCTCATCTTAATGGGCAAACAGGGATCTGAACCTGAGTCTCCCAACTCCTAGATTAGGTAGACTAGGTAAAAATGGAGGTGGATAGATTGTTATTCATGCTCTTACCTTAGTGTGCTGAAGGAACCAGGCTGTCATATTAAGCTACGGTTATGGTTTTGTTTGTCTGGGGAGAATACGTTATGTGAAGTCAGAAGGTCTTGCCAATCCAGGTTTAATGTTGTGCAAAGGCAGGTAACGAGTAACATAGAAATAGGACTGATGGTTGAAGTTTACATCAAAATGTTCCCCTGTGGGTTTAGCTAATATTTTGAGGGGCACAAGGCACCCTTCCCCGTGCCTTTTCTATGTTTGATAATTTGGGTGGCCAAAAGCTACAAAGGTAAAGATGCCGTGGCATCATGAAAGTGGTGGAGCTTAGATTTTAGGGAGTATGTTGGAGGGGGCTTTTCTTTAAATTAAGAGTATTCCTGTATAACCATTTACCCATCATTTTTAACAGGTGTGTCTGCAAGGGATGGTCAAAAAAGTCAAGATGGTGATCTCGGTGGTGCAATCAAAGCTCCACCTGCTTTTTTATGTACTTTGCAGATGAAATGCACATGTCAAGATGGTGATCTCGGTGGTGCAATCAAAGCTCCACCTGCTTTTTTATGTACTTTGCAGATGAAATGCACATAAAAACCAGTCAGAGCTTCAATGGCACTGCTGCAGTCACCATCTTGACTTTTTTGACCATCCCTTGG